TCTTTTTCCTGCATTCGGGGAGACAAAGGGGGTCGTCAAAGTACCCTTCTGGCACTGGCTGCCGGTCTATCAGTTTAATGCAAACTAGTCAATATGCCATTGTGGGATATAGGGGAGCAACCTGCCTTGATCCCCAACAAAGAGAGGGCAATGCACAAAGACCCTAGGAGGGCCTGTGATAAGCATGCCCACACTTTTGTTCTTTTGGGACCCCACTGAATATTAATAAACAGCGTAATTGAGAATGAGTAAAGGAAACACACCATATAAGAATGAATTACGAATTAAAGTGGTTAGTATGATTGAGTAGGGGAAATCTTGAGGGGTCAGTTAAAGATGGGGGGACCCGAGGCTTGCTTAACTCTGAATTTTAAATATATATTTTGTTGATTTTTTACAGAGAGGAAGGGAGAAAGAGAGAGCTAGGAATGTCGATGAGAGTCATCGATCAGCTGCCTCTTGCACACACCCCCACTGGGGATGTGCCCGCAAGCAAGGCACATGCCCCTGACCAGAATTGAACCTGGGACCCTCAGTCTGCAGGCCGACGCTCTATCCACTGAGCCAAACCAGTTTTGGCTTAACTCTGAATTTTAGAAGACTGGTTCATCAAGGCCCCCATCAGCAAAGCAGTGACAATTAGAGATAAATTGATGGGACTGAAAAATGTTTGAGTTCTGTGTTCCACTAGTGACCTAAGAATATTAACTAGTATAAAACAGGGACGGTAATCTCTTTTCTGAAACCCTTGGTGCCATATGAAATTGAAGTCTTTTTTTTTTTTTTTAAAGGAATACATTAAAAAAAAAAAAGTAACAGGGAATACAAACTTAATACTTTTCTGACTAACCAATAAATGAAATTAGGGTAAAATGACTAGCAAACTGATAAAAGGAACTTACATACTGACAGTTTCCTTATAAGCATATTGCAGGCATCAGCAGTGCCAGCCTTCCTTGGACAAGAAATGGCCTTGACCATGACTTCGGTTGATGCAGATCGCCCAACTGCAGGAATTTGGCCAGCACTGTCCAGTGCCAGTATGCTGGCTTTTAAGATCCATTTGGGGACCAGCAAGGACACTGCCTGCATGTCCACAGCCTGTTCCCCTGATCTCTTGTTCTGCTTTCCTTCTCCCTCCCTGTGAAAACCCCTGTCTGCACTAAGATGGGCTTTGGGATGAGAGTCTCCTGTCTTCTCAGGTGATTGGCACTTGAATAACCTTCTTTCCTTTTTCACCAATCCCTGTCTCATGAGTTTGGCTTTTGCGGTGGCAGGCAGCTGAACCTTGGATTCAGTTTCAACAGTACAGTGAATAGAATTTATTAGCAATGCTACAGGTATACTCCAGTACAGGCCATGTCCAATCTCAACACTAAGGAATTCATGCCAAGGAGTCTACCACATCTGGTGTGCAAATAATTTACAGATTCCCCACATCCCATAGCTCAGGGCTCTTACCCGTTGGGGAAGCCATTGATATGTCTACAACAGAACATATGGATATCCACAGTAAGGTAAAGAGACCTCATTGTCAACAACTGGACAAGAACCTCTGTTTTGAGAAGTCTTTGGATATGGATATTGTGAAGAAGGGATTGCAGGTCTATAGTGATGTTTGGGGGATTAGTGGTGATAGTATTGTCTCATCCCATTGCCAACTGCTGCTATATTCTATCCCACGGTTTCCCACACAGTCTCTTTCCATATTAGGATCCAACTCTAATGTAATTATCCTGACCCTGCTTATTTTCTTCAATATTTTCCCTTTCTTTTCAGTTCAGTTTGAATAATTTCTTTAAGTTCAAGTTCGCCAATCTGTTTTTCTATAGTTTGCTAAGATGATCATCTATCTGCTAAAACAATCCAATGAATTTTTAACATTATATTTAATTTGGAACACATTTAACTTTTCAGATATTGTGTTTTTCACTTTTAGAATTTCCATTTGGTTATTTCTGAGCATGGGAAATGGGAATTAATATTGTAGCCATGCAAACAATTTAAATGTGAATATTCAATATGTCTGTTCTAAATATACCAGTTACATCACTTGAAACCACTTTGTTGAACCCACTCTTTAAGAACACTAAAATAAGCCATTCTCTTCTCTTTTTTTCTTTATTGATTAAGTTATTACAGATGTGTCTTTATACCTCTTTATCCCCTCATCCCCAGAGTTCTGCCCTCACCCTCACCCCTTGTTGTATGTGTCCATCGCTTATGCTTATATGCATGCATATGAGTCCTTTGGTTGATCTCTCTCCCTTACCCCCAACCTCCCCTATCTTCCCTCTGAGGTTTGAGCATCTGATCGATGCTTCTCTGTCTCTAGATCTGTTTTTGTTCATCGGTTTATGTTGTTCATTATAATCCACAAATGAGTGAGATCATATGATATATATCTTTCTCTGACTGACTTATTTCACTTAGCATAACCCTTAAACCTTCCCATTTTTATTTTACCTCACCCCTTCAGCTTCGCCACAGAAGACTGTAAATTATTTTCAGGCTATAATTTAAGGCAAAATGCCCAGCTTTAGTCACTCATTCTGGACTTACCTTCATAAAGCCAAACTCATTGATGTATATAAGAGGGAAAATATCATTTAGTTTGAACAGATCCACCTACTTTAAAAGGCATATGTGGCTTTAAAAAATCCCATTGTCCATTAAACATCCATATGTGCACCTATTTCTCTATCTATCTATCTCCCGAATGTTGCCCAGTGCTGCACATTATCTTGCCTACTTCCCTTTTGCCATCTTAATTGATTTGTAGATCCTGCAAAAGACATTTTTATCATCAGCATTTAAAATATCAGAATGGTTAGGTTAAAAAAAAATTGAATACTTTGCTGAAGTCTCCAAGGATTCTTTTCCTAACCTCTATACTACACACACACACACACACACACACACACACACACACACACACTTTAGACATATAGATTTTCATACCAAGCCATCTAGATCCAAAGTCCAGATGGAAAATTAATATCTAGGGTGGCAGGAAAGAAGTTGTGTGAACAGGACTCATAAGTGTGAATAGAGAACAATTTTCCATTGTTCTCTATTCACACTTATGAGAAAATAAGGCAACAGAGGAACAATGATGTTCATTTCTACTCACCACACTCCACATTTTGAGCGTATTTTTTTAGCCAGTAGCAATTGCCCTGGGCCCCATGGTCAGAGGCCGGGGAGGTGTGGCCAGTCATCACCTGTCACAGGACCATGTGGGTGGCAGGAGGCGGTCCTCTCATGCCCAGGCCCTGTCTCACTCACTGGGGCAGAGCTCAAGCCCAGCATAAAAGGGCCGTGGGGATGGAGCATCTCCATCCACTCCCTCCTGAGGCAGTGACAGACCCTGTGCTGCTTGTGCACCTGGTAAGTGTCCATGGGGAATGGAGCAGGGCCTACCATAGAGAGAGGCCAGACCAGAGCAGGAGGGCAGGTGGGCAGGGCCTTGGGGACTGGAGTTGTGGTTGGCAAGGATGAGAGCTCAGAAAATCTGCTGGAGAAGAGCGAGGGTGCAATGGGTGAGAGAGACCACGGTAACTGGGAAGATTGGTGGGGCTGGTGCTAGAGGTTTAGAGAAACCAAATTGCTTTCAGCTGCTGGGTGTGTTTCTTTGACTTAAGAGAATGAAAATATTGACTATTAGATTACGCTGGAATGGATTATAGAATGGGAATATAATTTTGAAACTAAAGCCATAACCAGTTGTAGAAACAATGTGCTCAGGACAGTGGTACTTAACAGAGAGAACCAGTGTGGATCGGACTAGACCCCAGGAAGATCCATGATGGGCAATGGGGACACACTGAGTTGCAAAGTCCTGTGACAGGCCTCGGGAGCCGGCCTGGGTAGGAGGTGTGTGAAGGACAGAGTGTGAGGTTGAGAATCAGAGAACCTGGGAACAAAACTGTGACATGCTATTGAAAAGCAATAAGCCAGAAAATTCACTTCTTTTGGTTTTAGTTTCTTCATTTATACATTGAATTGATTGAGACAAATGGACTCCAAGGCACTTTACAGTTACAATTTTCTCTATTCTGCAAAAGCAAACCATATCAGAAATCCTTTCCAGAGAGAATGGGTTTGCTTTTTTCTTAAAGAAGCTTTAGCTCTAAAATGATCCTACATTGGACATTTTCAAGAGTCTTGGTGATAGGGTAGAATGAATGCTGTCCTGAAGCAAATTTATTGCCTGGTCTTCTCTCCAACACTTAGGAAATGTGAACAGGCATCAATTTTCCTTATGTATTTGGAGGTGATATTGTATGCCAACCATCTAGATGAGTTTTGAGACTCATGATAAACTAATAACACTGATTAAAAGCTCAGAGATGGTTTTACTATGTCTGATCTCACTATTTTCAAAATGAAAGGGATAGGAATGATGTTTAAAAAGACAGGAAGGGCAGGGGTGGCCTCTGTGTGGGACTGACTTGCTGTCTGACTCTCCCTCAGCTCTTGAACGCCCGCCCGCCTGCCCACCCAGATGTCCTGCCAACAGTGCCAGCAGTGCGTCCCCAAGTGCCCTCCCAAGTGCTGCACCCCAAAATGCCCTCCTAAGTGTCCCCCCAAGTGCCCTCCAGTCTCCTCCTGCTGCAGTGTCAGCTCTGGGGGCTGCTGTGGCTCTGGGGGTGGGGGCTGCTGTGGCTCTGGGGGTGGTGGATGCTGTAGCTCTGGGGGTGGTGGCTGCTGCCTGAGCCACCACAGGTCCCGCAGGTCTCGCCTCTTTAGACACAGAAGCTCTGGGGGCGGAGGCTGCTGCAGCTCAGGGGGCTCCAGCTGCTGCGGAGGGGGCTCTGGAGGCGGCTCCAGCTGCTGCGGAGGGAGCTCCAGCTCTGGAGGAGGCTGTGGTCAGTCCTCTGGAGGTTCTAGCTGCTGTGGAGGGGGCTCTGGAGGGGGCTCCAGCTATGGAGGGGGCTCCAGCTGCTGCGGAGGGGGCTCTAGCTATGGAGGGGGCTCTAGCTATGGAGGGAGCTCCAGCTATGGAGGGGGCTCCAGCTATGGAGGGGGCTGTGGTCAGTCCTCTGGAGGGTGCTGTGGTCAGTCCTCTGGAGGCTGCTGCTGAAGCTGACCCTGAGCCAAGGAGACCAGAATCAGAGGCACTAAAGGGACAAGATCATCTTCCTTGGGCCTGCCTGTGTTGCTGAGTCATTTCAGTGAAGGTTTCAAGTTCTGTCCTGGAAGATTCTTCTGACCTGCAATCCAGAAATCTGTGTCCTCTCTTAACGTCTTATCTCCCGACCTCTGATCCCACCTTTGCAGTTGCCCTGGGAAACCCAGATTATTTCTCTGGCTGGCCCTCTCTGGAAGGGAAACAATAAAACAGTCTGCTCCCCAGTTTGTTCTCCACTGTTGTCTCTTATTGTATACTTTCTGGGAAAGGTGAGCATGTCTGGTCTCGGTTCTGTCTCTCCTTGCCACGTGGGCCCTGAACCAGCATTGCTTGCTTTCAAGACTCTGAGAGCCCCTATGAAAACAATTCCTTCTATTGATACTTCTGCCATTAGAGCTGAAACCAGTCCCTCTGCCATCGAAGGTCAGGAAATGAAAATTACGGGTTTCCTTTAACAGGCAGAACAGTATGTAAAGAATTGCCAACTTGGTGTTGGAGAACTGAAAAGACACTTCCGGGTTGATAGGTGTTCATGGAGGTAGAAACTTTAACTACAACTACCCCTATAAATGGGAGAGACAGGGAGAGATGCTGGAATTATTAAAACTCAGACACTTGGAGGAGGGGGTCCCATGAAATTAAAACTCAGGCCTCTGAGGAGGGGTTCCCGCTCACTGATGCAGGGTTCCTTGAGCTCAGATGAGAAGTTCCATCTGATTGGACCCTCTGAGGAGCAGGTGTCCCTTGGCGGTGTCCTCATGTTTGAAAGAGGCACAAGGCTGGCTCTGTGAGAGCGGAGAACCCTGCACCCTGGATCTCACTCATGTTATTGGAGCAAATGGCCATGGCTGGGGGAGGAGGTAAGATTGGGATGACCTGGAGAGATACAGGAAACTAACAAGGAGCAGGCAGCTGGGAGCCTGGCCCATGTCCCCATTCCTGTCCTTCAATCTCCTTATAGCTCCCCCTGTTGGCAGACTACAGAAAGCCAGCTGGCAAAGGAGGACGGTGGTTTGCAGAGTGACAACTCTAACTAACATCAGAAAGCCAGATGTTGACTGAGTAACAAAAACCTAATTATCAGAACCCAGAAGCAGGGGACCTATTATCCTACTCAGCCATAACTCTCCTCCTTCCTGATACCCTTGCTCTCTTCCTCTTCTCTTAAACAATTTTACCATGCTCCCCCTTCAGCCAAAATTATAAAATGACCCCACAGAACTCAAACTTCAAAAATGTAGACTGCTGTATTACAAATAAAACTTCAAGGTCACTTCTGCCCATGGACCTCAAGCAGTTTCTATTATCACAGAGTACAAGTAGAATCACAAATTATAGACACACACACACACACACACACACACACACACATACACACATCTTCATGAAGGGTGTCAAGAGCCTGGAAACAATGTCCGTGAGAGTCACAATTGCCTCTGTGCTTCTGGTGGTCCTTCCTATGAAGTGACTACAGGTTTAGATTCTGGGTGGATGTAAATCAGCCTCCACTTTTTTTTCCAAGGGAGCTACCCTAATGCTTCTATTTCACACTCACTTTAACACTACAGTTCTTCGGTGATAATATTCTCAGGTTGTCTTCTCTCCTTGTAATATAACTTGGTGTGTGTGTATGTGTTTGTATGTGTTTTCTCTTGGGACTGCCCAAATGTGTTTCCTCTTTTCCCATCTGACTTGGAATCCTTATAACTTATAACACCTTTAATGCTAGGTGTTTCCATGTTAGGACCAAGGACATTCAAGGTCAGAGGCAGAATTTCAGGCCTCAGGTGAATGACTTCCTAACTTCAGGGGATAGGCTATCACAGTAGCTGGCAAACACCCCTTGAGTGGCCAAAATACCACCTGAGGGCATGCACATACAGTGCGATTGAAACTTTGTGGCCCATGCACAGAAGTTGGTTTTTGGCTCTCAAAAGAAATTTCAATCATTGTACTGTTGATATTTGGCTCTTTTGACTAGTGAGTTTGACGACTACTGGGATATCACACCATTCTGGGAGCTTTCTGGGGACTTCCTCTCTACTCCTGTGGCTTCCCTCAGACAGGGAAAACTGTGCTTTAACTTAGGATGGGGCTCCTCCTGGGAAGGTAGGGACACTCCCCATACTTTCTCTAGAAGAGGTCACATTAGCTCTTCCTCTTTATTGCTCTTTCTAAGTTCTAAGGGCCAGACACACTTAGATTGGACCTGACAGATGCTTCAAGACCAAAGTTCTTCAAAAACAAGGAAACAAACTTCTGCAGGGTCTCTGTGAGTCTTTCCTTCTTCTGCCTCTCTGATGAGTCCAGAAACTTGTGACCAGCAGTAGTGGCTGGATTTAATTTCTCCTCTGCTTCCCCTATGTGGGCATCCTCCTGCTAACGCACAGGAAATTTTCCACAATTCTCATGTAGTTGGAGGCTGGGATCTCCAAGCTGTCCCACAGCAGGCATGGGTCTAGAATGCCCTCTCTGATTACCCTCCTCCCAGCCGTAGGCAGTCAGACGAGCGGGAGAGATGATCACCCTCCTGGACCAATCTCTTTAGCTAGCTTGGGGAGTCCCTGAGAAACACCTCTTACTCTGGCATTGTCATGCGTTCTGATGGCTGGGTAACATTGTTAACTGGGAGCAATTCCAATATGTCAGGTACTGTGTTATCTATTACATTGCTCACTTTATGCAATGCTATAAGCAAGTCCATTTTTAGCGCCCATTTTACAAAAGAAGAAATTGAGGACCAGAGAGGTTAAGTGCATTTTTTCAAGACCCTTGTCACAGTTGGTCTAAATCACCACCACTCCTCTCTACTGTTCACTGTCACTGCACCAAGGGTCTGAGAGCAGACTCCTGGGATGGTATTTGTTGGTGCCTGTCCTGTAGAACTGGAAAACACACACACACCAACATATCATATTCTATAATGAAATGAGTTTCGTGTAGAATAAAAGAGCTACATTTTTTATCGAATCACAAAGTTGGACTCATAATGGAAACAAATTTGGTGTATAAGAAAAACAGAAGACATGTTTAAGGGAAATTTTGATAAACCAATACCATCAAAATAAAATTCAAAATAACGTATACATAACAAAATAGAAAGCAAAAATCATATAAACAAAACAAAATAGAAAGTCAACACAGTGTATGTAAAATAATAAATATTTATTAAGTATTTACTATATTGCAAGCATTCATTACCCTAAGTGTTTGTTCTTCTGTATAATTTTTAGGAACATAAATTTGTCATGCTCCACAAAACAAAGCTAAGCAAAGTGTGCTGTTGGAGTTTTGACTGGCATTGCATTAAACTCACATAATACCACAGGGAGAAGGTGGGGATTTTCATCTTAATATTTACTTTTTCTTTCCATATATCGTGAACATATCCCATAGATTTCTACTTAAATATTTTAAAATATTTTTCAATAAAATTTTAAAATTTTATACATAAATGCCGTTAAAATATGCATTATTATATGTTGTATTTTGCTGTTTTTGAAATAACAGGTTAAATTTATTTTATTTTCAAAGAAATAAAGAATATTGCTCTCATGTCTGAAAACTTGCTGTACTCTTATTATTTGCAATTAGTTACAGGGAAAATTCTTATACATATATTTTTCCTTATCATTCCCTTTATCTCCTTAGGCTCTATTCAGAGATGTTCAAGTGCTATAAAAGAGGGCGCTCATTTTACATTTTAATTCATTTATACATCATCATGAAGTATGTACTGAATGAATGAATCATCATACTGTCTTACATAATAAGTATGCCAAACCAATGAAGCATGAATGCCCAACTCCTCGCTTCCTCTCCAACACTGAGCTTTAAACACTCAATCTTTGGCAATCCATATAAAATGAATGGACACCATAACATAAAAAGACGAGGTATTTTTTATTCTTTGATTAATAGTAAAATTGAACACATTTTCACTTATATTTTTTTTGCCATTTGTATTTCTTTTCTGGTGTGTGCATTGCCTCTCTGTTCTTTGCTCATCTTTTTTTTTTTTTTGTATGCTTGGTACTATTTTTGATATAAGTTTTTAACTTTTAATATATACATTTATCAATTTTTTTCTTTCATATTTCCATTTCCTCTTTTTCATTCAATATAATTTTTCTCAAATTTGAAATAAAAAATATTTTCCACAATACTTTTTGTGTGCTTTGAAAAATAATTTATAATACAAAATAAAGGTTTTGAAAGGAAGAGGAACAAACTAAAGTCCAATCATGCAATGAGATCCTATCTCTAACAGGGGCTTTAAGGTGCTGGGAATAGAGTGAAATTCACACAGTTTTCATGACTTCCCAGTGACCTCAGCCATCTTTTCTCTCATCCCCTGAAAGTGACAGAGCCCAGGGGAGACAGACGCCTCTGATGAGTAAGTGACCTCAGAAAACCTCGTCATTAAACATTTTTTGCTATTAAATGTTGCCAAATCATTTGGAGCCGAGGCTGAGGACAGAGTCCTCATGGTATTGCAACAATGCTACTGATTTATTACCTGCCCTGAAGTCACATTAATTGATAGCTGGGAGCTGCCTTGCCTGCTGACAGAGGCATAACCCAATCGCATCTCAGCCACATCATCCTAGGAATCCGTGAGCTGGGCTTCTGAATCGTACTACCTGTGTGAGCCACGGAATCAATATTCCGACCTCTCCTCCCATAACTAAGCCCTTTGGAACAACCTGAGAACCAACATCGCACCTGAGTAATATCGAGGCAGATCTCTGTCGGATGATATGGCCAGCACTTGACACTGTGCATGTCTGAATGTCAAACTCTTATCCGATTGCCTAAGTCACATGGAAAAGCTATTTGCAATCTCTCAGCTGCTATGAAATGCTGGGGATGTGACTATATGCATATCTGTGTTCTCAATGCTGATGAGGACATGCAAGCATGTCATATTCATACTCTTGCTCCCAAGGAGTATTCAATTCATAGCAGAGGCATAACAGAACGAATAGATTTGAATGCTTGGGCAAGGAGTTTAGATTTTGTCCTGAATCAGTGGGGCTCCTAGAGAAGATTTTATTTAATGGTGGCGTGACTGTATAAATTATCCATACTGAAACACAGTTGAGATAGAAAAGAAGGTTTATGATGATTTATGTTGGGACAAAAGATATAATCCAAAACTGTCCCCGGTAAATGGGAATGGATAGTTACCCTATTCAATGGTCATAGGTAGTTATTTTTAGAAGAATATTAATGTGGATGAGATAGAGGAAAAAAAATCAGGAAGGTGGGAAACAGACAAGGCACCCCCCCCACACACAATTACCATAGAGTATGTGTGTATGCTTATGCAAACAAGCACACGTGTAGTCTATGTTATTTGCACATCCAAATGCATATACACAAACACATTTATATTTGCAACTGCATGTTAGCTGGCTTCGCTGTCACCTTATGACTTACTATTAATTTATTCCATTGTTCTAGGCTCTGGGGAATTTTAGATTCTGCCCCAATTTTCCTGCCACGGACAGAAAAGAGAAGCTTTTTCCTCACGAGGCTCCATGTGCCTTCTTCTAATTAACTCATGAGTTTCCTTTGGGGACATTTCACTGTGACGTTGTACACCAATCTGAGCCACGTGTGAGCTCCTCTCGAGCCCTTTATGGACGGAAAGCATCGGAGTGGATAAATGGTGCAAGCAGAGAAAACAATAGTAAAAACTTAAAGACGTAAGCCAAAACTGCCTTAAGAGATTTAAAGAGCCCTTCAAGGTTCCTGTACTGCCTCACCCCGTTTCCCTGGCCCCGTGTTTGGGAATCCCATGTGTGATTTTACGGGTTCCCTTCACTGGCCCCGAATTTGTCTGATGAAGTGGTGCAACGCGGAGCTCTCCGACCCCTCACCACAAACTCCTTCTTGGCTACATTTTCATGGTCCAACACATCAAGATGTTTAACAGAGCAAAAGGGCCTGCGATAGAAATATAAAGTAACTAATTTGTAGAAAACCAAACCAAACTCAGACTTACTATCCTTTGAAAAACGCTCTGTCTTACAAATAACACCCATTTTTTCTCTTTTATTTTTGAGTCCAGAGGCATCATCATTTGAGGATCCACCATACCATAGATCTCCCATCAGGCTCTCTCTCTTTATAGTACTGTGCTGACTAGCACAATACTCCTGTGAGATATTTCCCTCACTATTCATGTTCTTTTTATACTAGAGAAAATAAGCACATGAACAAAATGAGAAATGAATTAAGTAACTTTCAGAGGACACACAGCTGTCAGGTGGCTGAGCCAGGATTGCTTCCTAGGTCTGTGTGGCTCCAGGCTCAGAAAAGGACTGGGATGTAGCAGGGGCCAGCACGTTTTTGGATAAAGGGCTGAGGAGTAAATACTTCAGGCTGTGGGAGGCATAGGGTCTCTGTCCCACTTACCTAACTCTGCCACAGATGATAAAGAAACGAGGGCAGAGGAACACCGAAATTGGAACTCCATATACTTTTCAGGTGTTCTAAAATATTCCCCTTTTCATATTTCTCCCCAAGCACTTAAACACATAAAGCCATTCTTACTTAGCCGGAAAGGCTATATGAAACACACAGTGGGCATAGTTGGGATGCAGACCAAAGTCGATGGCCTCTGATAGCCTTGTGGAGTGATGTGGACTTGAACTTAAGTGGAGAAATGTGAAGCATCTTCAAAACGGGCTGCCAAGAGCCATTGAGTTTATATCAGCTGCTATTGGGCTCTGAGGTAAAAAACAGCAACAACCAGGAGTTAAGAGGCCTCCAGGCTGGCATTTCCCACAGAGATGAGGCAGAAGATCAAAATAGATTCCCCCAACCCCACCACTCCTGTTTCTAACCAGCCCTATTCCTAGTCCAAGGTGGGTGCCCTGATTCCTAATCCTCTTGGATGGAGGCAGGAAGGAACAGCCAGTCATCACCTGTCACAGGGCCATGTGGGAGGCAGGAGGCAGTCCTCTCATGCCCAGGCTCTGTCTCACCTGCTGGGGCAGAGCCCAAGGCCAGGATAAAAGGGCCTCTGGACCAGAGCACCTCCATCCACTCCTGACGGAAGGACCCTGTGCTGTTTGTGTACTGGTGAGTGCTCACTGGGCATGGGACAGGGCCTTCCATAGTGGGAGGCTTAGACCAGCGCAGGAGAGCAGGCGGGCAGGACCTTGGGCAGGGGGAGGCCACTGTGTCAGAGGAAGGGATTCAGGGAGTTTGGGAGAAGGGTACAAGAAAGGTCCCAGGTTCGATTCTTGTCAAGGGCATGTACGTTGGTTGCGGGCACATCTCCGGTAGGGGGTGTGCAAGAGGCAGCTGGTCAATGTTTCTCTCTCATCGATGTTTCTGGCTCTCTATCTCTCTCCCTTTCCCTCTGTAAAAAAAAAAAAAAAATCTATATATATATATATATATATATATATATATATATATATATATATATATATAAAAGAAAAAAAAAGAAGGGGTCTAGCACCCACTGGGGGCATAAAGAGAAAAGTTACATGGCTGTGCCCTTGGGCTCCAGAGAGAACGAGCTGATCTGCAGCAGAGTGGGCTTCTCAGGACAGGGACACTGAGGCAAAGAGCACTGTGCTCCACTCTGGCAGGTGCCTGGAGGGAGCTCACCTTTGAAAACACAGGCCTGTCCATGCCCACAAAGGAGGAGCAGGGCTGTGTAAGGAAGCTCGGGCTCCTGTGGGCTTATTAAAGCCACACATCCATAGCTCTGGGAGTTTGTTGATCGGGACACAGCAAGCCTGAGAATTACCAGGTCACCCCATCAACTCGGGTGGGGAGCAGAGACTTGAGCTCTGGTTTGAGCCCAGGGAACTGAGTAATCAAGAGGTTTACCTTGAGCTTACTGAAGTGGGTCATCTCCAAGACCCCTTGCAATGCCGACCTTCCAGAATAAGGTCATGACAAGAGGGAACGATGGCTGAATTTTTTCCTTGAAGAAATTATATTCCCTTCAAGTTGCTGATAAGTAAATGTACTTCCAAAAGGGAGGGCATAGCTTGATTCAGTTCTTTCATCACTGAGGAGGCTTTAGACTCTTGGATGTGTTGGGTAATATTGTTTGGTTATAACGCTACTTCTTTGAGCAATGGATGGAAGTTCATGTTTGACTTGCAAGGATACACTGAGGTTCCAAAGAGATGATGCAAGAGTAATGGGAAAACTACTCAAAGGAGTAAAACTACAGGAGGTTATAGCGATATTCAGAGAACAAGAAGAGACGGGGGTGGCCTCTGTGTGGGACTGACTTGCTGTCTGACTCTCCCTCAGCTCCTGAACGCTCGCCCACCAGCCCGCCCAGATGTCCTGCCAGCAGAGCCAGCAGTGCGTCCCCAAGTGCCCTCCCAAGTGCTGCACCCCCAAGTGCCCTCCCAAGTGCTGCACCCCAAAATGCCCTCCTAAGTGTCCCCCCAAGTGCCCTCCAGTCTCCTCCTGCTGCAGTGTCAGCTCTGGGGGCTGCTGTGGCTCTGGCGGTGGGGGCTGCTGTAGCTCTGGGGGTGGGGGCTGCTGCCTGAGCCACCACAGGCCCCGCAGGTCTCTCCGCCTCAGACACAGAAGCTCTGGGGGCGGAGGCTGCTGTAGCTCAGGGGGCTCCAGCTGCTGTGGAGGGAGCTCTGGAGGGGGCTCCAGCTGCTGTGGAGGGGGCTCTGGAGGGGGCTCCAGCTGCTGCGGAGGAGGCTCCAGCTCTGGAGGAAGCTGTGGTCAGTCCTCTGGAGGCTGCTGCTGACCTTGATCCTACCTCAATTTCTCCCTGAGCTCCCTGAATGGCAGAGGGGTCCTAGCAAAACTTGAACTTTGTTCTAGAAGTTCCCTCTACCCTAGTATCCAGAAGCCCAACACCTCTCTCTAAAACCCAGTTTCTGACCTCCTTCCCCATATCTGTGGCTGCCCTGGGAATCCCTAAGCACAGATCCTATGTCCCCTTGAAGCTCACGTTATTGTATTCTCATGCTTGAATTGAAAAATAAATACAGAATCTGCTCACTAACTTGGTCTGGGCTGATTGCATTTCCTGTTTTAGGCACCACTGTTCTATCCTCTTCCCTTGCTGGTGGCTGCAGAGGCCTCAGTGGATGGAGGACAGGGTTAAGAGTCAGGAGAGAAAAATTTGTGTTTTTGTATGTTTGCATTTTCCTTTATCCCCCCGCCCCCTTAACCAAAATCCTGGGGCAGCATTAATTGCACACATTGCTTCTTTACATTTTCCTTCCCTTCACATGTCTAACTCTGTCCCTCAGGCATGGCCAGGTGACAGACATCCTCCTCCTGCTTCCACCATTCTTTCTTCACTCCCCATTCCACACCCTTCTCTTCATTAATCTCCATCTGACTCTTCCTTCAGTTTAAATAAACATGCATGTGTGCATGTGTGTGCACCCACACAGACACACCTACATATATATTTATATGAATAAATCTTTCTTTTAAAAAAATTTAAAATCACCTTTATTGTATACTTACATGCAATAAAATTCACTGATTTTCAATATACAATTCAATGAGTTTTGTCAAATTTATGCAGTCATATAACTACAAAATGCAATCACCACCTAAAAATGTATTTGGTGGCTATAATTATGTAGAGAAAGTTTTAAGAATAATACAAAAACCCATTTTATATAGAGGAAAATGTGGATATGTGTAATCTATGTCATGAAATGCTAACAATTAAATTCAAAATGGGAGAAAGTACCATTAAAAATATGGGAGGGTAGAAAATTAACGTGGTGAGAAATTCTAAGCTTTCCTTCTAAGATCAGGTACAAGTCAAGGTTATCCCCTCTCACCACAACTGTTCAATATGGTACTGGAAGTTCTAGCTAATACGATAAGACAAAAATAAATAAATAAATTACCGTATTTTTCGGACCATAAGACGCACTTTTTTCCCCCCAGAAGTGGGGGGAAAAAGTCCCTGCGTCTTATGGTCCAAATATAGCCTACATATATACTTTAAAAAAAAAAGTTTTTTTTACTTGCCTGGCTCTGTGTGGTCTCTGTGTGCTTGCCCGGCTCTAAAATGGTTCTAAATGCTGCTGTTTACTTTACAGGGTTGATTACATGTGTTTATGACTGTGATGTTGGGTTTTAATGCACATAAAATATTTTAGGACACTATTTGTTTCAGAATCTTTTTTTCTTCATTTCCCTTCTCTAAAAACTGGTGCGTCTCATGGTCTGGAGCGTCTTATGGTCCGAAAAATACGGTAAGTGTATATGGACTGGGAAGGAGGTAGTAAACTGCTGTTGTTCATAGATGCTATAATTTGTGTAGAAAATCTAAAAGAATCAACAAAAACTCACTGGCATTGGGTCTTTCATACATTTTCATATAGCAATATCTCTAGAGGAATGAAAGAGCAAATTGGCATTGCCTTGCACAATAGAATAATTTGTTTCCCCAAAACTCTTACACAGGGGAAGAGGGTGAGCCTGTGAATGGAAAGCAGAAAGAAGAGACCGTTAGAGGGTCAAACCTGGGGCACTGGTAGGGGAGGACCCTGAGGCAATGAGCCTCTGGGTCAAGCAGGTGGGATGGCCTTACAGGACAGAAGCACTTGGGAGTCAGTAGGAATCTCCAGCATCACTGCTTTGTTCCTCCTCCGGCACAGACATCCTGAAGGATTCTTGTATTTGAGCATTTTCAGATATTAAACTAGTGTTTATTTGGTATGTAGCAGATAGATGCTCCTTCCACATCTAGAGGGCAACATTATTTTTAAATGAGGAAATAATTAAATAAAGGCATGTTTGACCTAAGGGGACTTATGAGAAGAAAGTCTCCCCCCAGAAACGTACAAAATAATTCTCCAGAGCCTGAGACGAGGTACACATGACACAATAATAATGTGTCATGTGGGTCATAATGGGCAAGGATAACCAATATCCTGTGAAATACATGTTTACACATGACTACTGGTATTTTTGAGTATATATACAAATATAAATATATAAATATATATAATATATATATACATACACATGTATATGTATGTATATATATTTATATATCTAGATATCTATATCTATATCTATATCTATATCTATATCTATATCTATATCTATCTATATCATCTATATCTATCTATATCTGCATCTACATCTATCTATCTATCTATCTATCTATCTATCTATCTATCTATCTATCTTATGAGCACCCAGGGCATGATTCAAAATCGCACCTTGCCCCCAACCCTTGAGTCGCCAGTTGGGTCTGCCTCACTCCCCAGGCCTGCAGCAGCCACAGCCACTGCTAATCAGGCCCTCCCCCAGTGCAGGCGTGAGGAGGCCCCTGCCGCCCTGCCCCGGATGCTGTGCTTGCAACCTCCTCCTGTCAGGTCACCCTGTTAAGGCATCCTGGTTAATTAGCATATTTCTCTATTTTATATATAGATATTTTTTAGATATGTAATCCACCTTATCTATTATTTTCAGAGTCTGATAGCTTAAGGTCCTGGCCTTCCCTGGAACTCCACTGATTCCTATCTGTCATGATTTCTCCTTGATTCGAATCTTCTCTGAGATCCAAACATGTTCTCTCTTCACCATCTCCCACTACAGAAGTAATTAGCATGGCCTTTAAGGTGATGATAATCTGCTTTGAACAAGACTCAGAGGAGCCTTTACATCTCTCTGGATGTTTAGGAAGCCACATCTAGGGCTTCACAGTGTGTTCAGGGTCAAGGCCAGCATTTTTGACTGATATCCAAAGCTCTGGGAAATATTTGTACAACTACCAATGTGCAAATACAGAACTTTGTATTGCTTCACAGGAAGAACTGGTATTCTACCTCTACTGTAAACATGTCTCTCCCTACCCTACTCCTATGGTTTATTCCATGGTATTTCCTTTCTGAGACAATGCAGTTCCATTACCACTTGCTCCATTATCCTTTAAGTGACATTTTTTTACAAATGAGACTTCAATAAACCCTTTAACAGCACAACTTGTGCCCTATTCTTATTCCCCATCAGCAACTAGTATAAGGCTTTACACATATGGGTGGTTAATAGATTTTTAATAATCTTTTCACTACATTAGCACCCACTTTACAGTTTACAAATAGTGGTTACTATGACCTATGTCATCCTCATCAGGGGACCACACTCAGACAGACACAGAGAGAGGTGTGATGGCCACATCACTCTGCAGAGGTTAGATCTGTCACTCTCTCAGCAGGGCATGGAATTAGCTCAGGTTGTTGCTATGGGTTCCTATGTGGGTGGGGCCAGAATACTCATGCCTAGGCTCACACAGGAGCCCAGCTTATGATTCCTAGAATGATGGGGTGAAGAGGTCATCTGGTCCACACCTCTGCCTCCAGGCAGGGCAGCACCAAACTATCAATGGGCTTCAACTTAAGTAATGAATTTGCAGTGTGATTATAACTGTAGCATTTGGACTGAGACCATTCACACATTTTTATTTAAAAATAGAGGCCTGGTGCATGAAATTCATAGGCAGGTAGGGTTCCTAGGCCTGGCCAGTGATCAAAGCCAATTAGGGCCTTCTTTCATTCCGTGCCATCCCCTGGTGGTCAGCGCACATCATAGCGAGCAATCGGTCTCCTAGTCGAACTCACATGAGGACAATTTGCATATTTCGCTTTTATATATGTATAGATGAACATTGACTGACCCTTTGGCCTTAGTTATTGGTTATGAGTTTGGGACCATTCAAGAAACATTTTTTTATTGGCAAAGGTTTTCTGAAGTCACCTAATCATTCAAAGGGTCTCTTACATCATCAGTTTGACATCTTTGCAAGGAACCAAAGGGTACACTGCTGAAATATTATGGGAAATAAATAAAATTAGTTTTCCTATGTCTTTCCTTTCTCCTTCCTTCTGAGTTATGAACTAGAATATTGACAAACTTAGGGAGTTTTTTTCTCCCTGAAAATCTTTCTTTTAAATCATAAATGATAAAATAAAACTCTATAGAAATAGCATATAGAAATGGAAATTTCCTATTAAATAAAAAATAGTAAGAATAAAAATGGCACAAATCCTATAATATATAAAGGAAAAGTTAGATAAGTTATATAGGATTTTAATTTTATATGGCAAACTATACCCCATATAAGCACAAAGACAAATAATCATCTGGAGAAAAATACAACACATGTGCCAGGTTTGGAATTAATGTCCCTAATATAAAAATATATCTTATAAATTAAAATGAAAGTAAGAATACCAAAGCAATCTAATGGATAAGGACAAGGATAGGCTATTCTCTCTCTCTCTCTCTCTCTCTCTCTCTCTCTCTCTCTCTCACACACACACACACACACACACACACACACACACACAATTTGGTAATATGTTCAATGTTATCAATATTAAAAAAAAAAACTCCAAACAAATCAGTGAAGAAATATCTTGTATTTTGATATGTAGTTTATCAGATTCATTTTTTGTTTGTTTAAAAATAACAATGCTTGTAATCACTAGCAAAGCTCAGGATGTGTGAGAATGTATGGTAACACATGTTTTTATTTGTGGTGGCAATATAAATTGCAAAAATTATTCTGGGTGGCAGTTTGTACTTACTGGTGTATAATCAATTTAAATTTAAAATGAATATAACCTTGTACACAATAATTTTTTCTAAGAATTTAGCTTAAGAAAATAAAAATATGTATAGGAGAGCAACATATACAATAATGTTCATTGCAGAAGATTAGATATAAGGGATTAGCCAGAAGGAGGATAAATAACTAATAAGCTACAGTATAAGTATTTAAATAGTTATATAAATGTTAAAGTTATCAAAGTTCCTCCCTTAAGTTATTAATTAGTAGAAAAAATAGTGGGGGGATTCCCAGATGGCCTGCAGAGTGGCCAGAAGCTGCGTCTGCTTGCTCCTAACTCTCGACAGGACCTGGAGCTAAACTGCAGCAATTGGCTTGAAAGACCGTGGAAGTGTAGCTGATATACCGTATTTTTTGGACCATAAGACGCACTTTTTCCCCCCCAGAAGTGGGGGGGGAAAAGTCCCTGCGTCTTATGGTCCAAATATAGCCTACACATATACTTTAAAAAAAAAGTTTTTTTACTTGCCCGGCTCTGTGTGGTCTCTGTGTGCTTGCCCGGCTCTAAAATGGTTCTAAATGCTGCTGTTTACTTTACAGGGTTGATTATATGTGTTTATGACTGTGATGTTGGGTTTTAATGCACATAAAATATTTTAGGACACTATTTGTTTCAGAATCTTTTTTTCTTCATTTCCCTTCTCTAAAAACTGGTGGGTCTTATGGTCCGGTGCGTCTTATGGTCCGAAAAATACGGTAAATATTGAGAACAGGGAACAGGGAGGGAACAGAGAGGTGAGAGGGTGAGCACCCTCAGGCAGGTCCTCAGCTGGGAAGTTGGAGGGATATCAGGGCAGCGGAGCCCCCTCTCTCCATGATTGTGGGGTCTCAGCCCCACACAGGAATCCCAACCCAGAGCCATAGGGAAGAGAAAGGGAGCCCACTTAGCATCAGGCAGTAGGATCAGTGAGGGTCCCTGCACACATGCTTAACCAAATTGAGGCAAGGAGAAACATCAGACACGCACAAATCAGACATCAACAGAAACAGAGCACTCTTAAAAAGTGTCCAGTTCAGGAAAGGCCAAGAAAGCCTGGAGGACTGTCACAGAAAGGATTGGATTGATTTGGATTCGATAGCAATGACCATGTGTTTTTCTATAAAGGACGTTAGAGGCATAAGTGGCCAATCTCAACAAGGTCTGTAGACACTGAGGCCTCAGGAACCCAGGAGTTGAGGACAGAGTAGGAGAAAGATAATATAGGAATAAAACTCAGGCAAGGCAAGAGCAAATGCAGAATCATCCTTTTATTGTTTCACATCAGGCTGGTGTGTGCACACACATAGCTGTGCAGGAGTTCCCAGGGCAGCCACACATAATGGCATACAGGGAAAGAAGTCGGGAAGTGGGTTTGGGAAAGAGATTTGGGCTCCAGGACACCTGGGCATAGGGATCCTCTGCACCAGAACTCAGAGGCCTCACCCAGACCTCTCAGCAGCGGGGAAGGTCCAGCAGGAGGAGCAGGAGGAGGTGGAGGGGACTGGCCATTGGTAGCCCGCCATTCAGCTCTTCTTGGCTCAAAGTCCACTTCAGCAGCAGCCTCCAGAGGACTGACCACAGCCCCCTCCAGAGCTGGAGCCCCCTCCGCAGCAGCTGGAGCCCCCTCCAGAGCTCCCTCCACAGCAGCTGGAGCCTCCAGAGCTCCCTCCACAGCAGCTGGAGCCCCCTGAGCTACAGCAGCCTCCACCCCCAGAGCTTCTGTGTCTGAAGAGGCGAGGCCTGTGGGACCTGTGGTGGCTCAGGCAGCAGCCACCACCCCCAGAGCTACAGCAGCCCCCACCCCCAGAGCTACAGCAGCCCCCGCCCCCAGAGCCACAGCAGCCCCCAGAGCTGACACTGCAGCAGGAGGAGACTGGAGGGCACTTGGGGGGACACTTAGGAGGGCATTTTGGGGTGCAGCACTTGGGAGGGCACTTGGGGGTGCAGCACTTGGGAGGGCACTTGGGGACGCACTGCTGGCTCTGCTGGCAGGACATCTGGGCTGGTGGGCAGGTGGGCGGGCGTTCAGAAGCTGAGGGAGAGACAGGCAGCAAGTCAGTCTCATATAGAGGCCACCCCTGCCCCTTTCTCTTCCTTCTTGTTCTCTAAGCATCATTTCTTGCCCCTTTATTTTGAAATGTGTAAGTGGAGTCTTTGATAATGAAACCCTGAAAGTTTTGTTCTTTCTAATAGATAGGCAAACACTCTGAGACTTCCTCCTGGAATCTCCCAATTTCTACTTAAGGTAGGCAGGGATTAATATATCTTTTACAAAGAAGGAAACTGAGATAAAAATCAATGATAAAAAAATCTGCCATCATTAAATATCTAGTAAGGGAAGGTCATTTTTTCTATCATTTCAACCAGAAACCTGAAACTGTAGTTAAGAAAACAATCGAGAGAGTAAATATCTCTTTAAAAAGGAAATTCATGATTGTACCTTCCTAGATAGTTTTCTAGAGCCCCAAAGGATCCCCTGGTCAGCTCTCTCTATTGGTGGAGAACCACCATCCCCAGCATTTTTGCATGGAGGGTTGCGTTCTATTCTCAAAGGTAAAGGCTCCTTATGAAAATGGCTCACCAAGAGCCCAATGGCCAAGGCTTCAGCTCATCTGACCTCAGAGCATAGCCAACAGGATCTACATTAGGTCCAGCACAAACACACAGCCATCCGCTTCTCCCTCATGGTCTCAGTTGGTCCACTCCCACCACGCATATCCTCCCTCAGTCTTCCTCAGGACCCTCTCCCTCCATCTGCAAGGCCTCCAACACCCCTACCTTCTAGAGCCTCACCTGCCCACCAGCTCTGGTCTGAGCCTCCCTCTTGGGAGGACCTGCTCCGTTCCCAGTAGACACTTACCGGGCACACAAGCAGCACAGGATCGGTCACTGCCTCAGGAGGGAGTGAATGCTGATGCTCTGGTCCACGGGCCCTTTTATCCTGGCCTTGGGCTCTGCCCTAGCCAGTGAGACAGGGCCTGGGCATGAGAGGACCGCCCCCTGCCACCCACATGGGTCCTGGAACCTGTGACTGGATGATGACTTGCAGTTAGTTCCTCCCTGCTTCCTTCTAGGAGACCCAGCACAGCTGCTTCTGGACTACATATGACCCAGCAATTCCACTCCTGGGTATTTGTCCTAACAAATCCAAAATAACAACTCAAAAAGATACAGATACTCCATGTTCGTTGCAACAATATTTACAATAGCCAAGCTATGGAAGCATCCTAAGTGTCCATAGACCAAAGGATAAAGAAGATGTGGTGCATATAGAAAATGGCATATTACTCAGCCATAAAGAACAATGAAACCCTGTTCTTTTTTGACAAAGTGGATGGACCTAGGGGCTATTATGCTAAGTGGAATAATACCATGTGATTTCGTTTATGTATGGAAGCTAAAAAAACAAAGCAAATGAGTAAACAGAACAGAAACAAACTCATAGATACAGAGAACATATTGATGGTTGCCAGATTGGAGGGAGATTGGGGAAATGGGTGAAAAAGGTGAAGGGACTGAGAAAAACAAATGGGCAGTTATAAAAATAGTTTAACATTGGGATGTAAAATACAGCATAGATAGAGAATATTGTCAATAATATTGTAATAACTGTGTATCATGTCAGATGGGTACTAGACTAATTGGGTAATCATGTCATAAGTTATATAAATAATCACTATGTTATACACCTGAAACTAACTTAATATCATATATCAACTTAAAAAAATCATAAGGAAGGGAAAATACAAAAACAAACAAACAGGCACACAGTAAAAAAACAGAAATGGGGGAGAAAAGTCCTACACTCATTCTCTACCTCAGTCATCCTGGAGGTTATTGTCTCAGTTTTAGGGCTTGAGTTACCAACCTCTCCTTTCTTGCCTCCCAGATCTTAATTCAATGGCTCTGGGTAATCTCATTTAAATCAAATTTCATAGAATCCTCTAAGTCTTTATCATCGTACATGTAAATGTGTGTGCATGTGCATGTACATGTGTGTGCATATGTGTGTGTACTATAGCCATGAAGACCCTGGTTAAAGATTCAGACCTAATAGAGAATCCCTGTTCTGCCTCCTATTCACTGTATGATCTTGTAAAAACCTCCTCGTCCTTCTTGTCCTGTTCTGTTGATCTATAATAGAGATAATAAAAAATAACTCTTCAGGGGGATGTGAGAATCAGTGAGCTAATGCAAAGAAAATATCTGGCAGAGTTATAACATGCTATGTTTTCTAAAAAAAAATGCCAACACATTCATTTAAAAAAATTATAGCTGCTTTCTAAGAAGAGCAGATCTGGTTAGAAAACTTGGGAATAATTATTATATTTATAATTTTCCATTCCATCCAGACTTGAATATGGTATATGTTTATTTATCTTTATATCCTGTAAAGTTTTTTTTAAATCTTCTCATTTTATAAAAAATACTTGATACTAAATTATATTTTACATATCATGCATATTATGCTATTTTAAATAGCTATTTTAAAAATAACTATATTTGGTAGTAAATATAAATCTAATTTATGATGTCTTCTAATCTTGTATTCTGCAACTTTTCTAACCCTTACTATTATTTTAATTTTCCATAATATTCTTATAATATAATTTTCTTTATTAAATTGATTCTTCTTAGATGACATTCTTTGAAGTTCAATTACCATATAGAAGAGTATGCTACATTTAAATTTTAACTTGTATATATAACAATAATGTTGAATAAGGAATCATCAAATTTCCATCCAAATGGTCACGCCAATGTACATTTCCAATAACACAAGACCCATTTTTTTTATCACCTTTAGCAAAACTGAGTTTTGTTATTCATTTTAAGTCTTTTTCAATTCAATATAAAGGAATAAATCTAACAGACCCCTTCCCTGAAAAGCCATCCTGTTTTATATGTAGTTCTTTGATTATTTATATATACACAAACATGAATAAATGTCTAAATTTATTGGTCATTTGTATTTCTTTCTAGGATATTTGTCTAAGTGCTTTGCCTATTAGTTTGTAGATAGGTTTGCTTATTTTCTACAAAATGGCAAGAACTTACTGTTTATTATGAGTTTTAATTTATTACTGACTTGTGTGCTTTCTTTTTCCTCAGCTCATGGTTTTTTAAAATCTTTTTTATGATGCTTTCTACCATAAAGATATTTTTTTCTATATGGTCAAATTGATTAGCCATGCTTAAAATATTTTACCCAAATAATTATAAAGAAATGATTAGGTACAAATTCTAGTAATTTTGGAGTGTTAATTTATTGTTGCTACTGTAAATAGAGATTTGTAAATAATGCTGGCTCTGGGGCACAGAGTAAAAGTCCCTGAATTTGAGTTAATTTTCACCAGGTCTCAGCATTCTTCCCTCCTATGTTTTGAGATTATGAGATCCCACTGACACAAGAATCATACTCTCCAGAAAATCTATTCTTTGCTAGTGCACACTGTTTAAATGGTACCCAAGCCACTGAGCTCCAACACCAGTCCTGAGGTTGTTCCATCATGCTTCTCCTATCCCCTAAACCCAAGTCAGATCAAATGACCATAGGTGATGCCCTTTGTGGTGACAGAGGCATACATAGAATCGCTCCTAAGTCTCATCACCTTTAGAATGGGTGAGCTGGGCTCCTGAATCAGAGCTCCCTGTGTGAGCAAAGTAATCAATATTTGACTACACTCTCATGAGACAACATGAGCCATGAGCAGGCAGTTCAGTGGCAGAATTTTGCAGTGATAAGGCTAGTGCATTGTAATGTGAATACTCCAGAGTGAGACTTCTGATGGTGATGGCTTAAGGCATAACAGAAGTAAAGCTAATGCTAATATTAATAAATCTATTTTTAAATGGATGTCCATTGAATACATAGCCCTGTATTTGGAGCTGTTGATGGATACAGAAATGTAAGACCCAAGCCAGGGATTCAAAAAGAGTTTATTATAAGTGTATTTGAGACAAAGGACTCATAACAGATGTACGGCAAGATATATTTGAGTAGCACTGTTTTAAAAGTGCATAGATTATGGAATAAAGCAGGGACGTTTGACAGGAAGGAGCAAATTCAAAGTAAAGCACATAGCCTATTTTAGCTAAGGAAGAACACTTCTAAAGGGAGGTAGCAAGGCCTGAACGGGAGATATAGCAAAGAGTCATATTGCATAGGCCTAAAACATCAGTCAGTAGAGATGGGAGCTCATCATGAACCCAGTGGAGACCCCAAGATGAAACTTCCTTAATGATCTGGGGCAATTATTCCTGAGGGTGAGGGATGAAACCCAATGAGAAATAAAACTCAACGAAGAGTTGAAACCCAATGTAAATAGAACAAAGAAGAGATAAGGCCAAAAAATTATTTTCTCTGGGCAGAGAAATTTAGGGAAAGCTGGATACTAGTTGATATTGGATGCTGAGAAAACTATGGTAATATGTGTGTGTGTGTATTTGTATATTTAGTGTCTCCTATACTCTCTGTAATCTCTAAGTAGAATTATACACAGGTACACATGCACATATCTCCTCTGCATACTAATAGGGTTCGTACTATACAACATGACCTAGATATTATGAAATCAACATCCACTCAGGCTCTAGGGAATTCCAGAGTTCGTTCCCAAGCCTGGAGGCAAGTAGACTCCCTATGATAATTCTCCTTCATCTGGTAATTTAATTTAGTTGTTTAATAACCTTGCAACACTATAAACTGGGCTATTATTATCTTACTTACTATGAACCCAAATGCAAACTCTGGCCCTTTCCCTTAATCTAAAAATAGAAAATCTCGACTCCCCCTCCCCCCCAAGGAAAGCCTGTGTTCATGTAGATAACTGAGTTAAGAGACTCACAAAACAGACAACAAATTACATGATGTGTTAGACACTGCTGTTTTTAAACATCTGCTAGTCTAAAGGTCTTAGTTCCGGTAAGTCTCCTACTCTGTCCTCAACTCCTGCCCCTCCACCAGGGCTGTCTGCTCCTCAGCTGCCTTACCTCCAACAGTGCCCCCAGGACAGTCTCACTATCTCATCACTACCTTCCATTCTTCCCATCCGTGGACTTGATCCCAGACCTCCGGTATGATCCTTGAAAAATCTGAATTCTCAACCTAATTAGCAGTTCAAGTCATCTCTTGCTTTCTCTTCTATAAAACTTCATTCCTGGTCCACATTTTCTTATTAAAAACCTAGCAATAAAACAGGAAGGTCTTGATTTTCTAATCAGATCCACTCTGCTTAGAAAGCAGCTATAATTTTTTTAAATGAGTATCTTGGAATTTTTAGAGAATATAGCATGTTATAACTCTGCCAGAGATTTTCTTTGCATTAGTTCATTGACTTTCACCTCCCCCTGAAGAGCTATTTTTTTTTAAAATTATCCCTACTATATATCAACAAAACTGAGGACAAGAAGAATGCGGAAGTTTTCACAAGATCATACAGTGAATAGGAGGCAGAACAGGGATTCTCTATTAGGTCTGAATCTTTAACCAGGGTCTTCATGTCTATAATTCAATACATATGCATACACATATGTACATGCATATGCATACACACTTACATATAAGGTAATAAAGACTTGGAGGATTAGATGAAACTTGGTTTAAATGAGACTTCCCAGAGCCATTGAATTAAGATTTGAGAGGCAAGAAAAGTGAGGATGGGGACTCAAGTCCTAAAACAAAGTGAGACAATAACCTCCAGGATGACTGAGGTAGGAAATGAGTGCAGAAATTTTTTCCCTGGTTTCCATTTTTTTAAATTGTCTTTTTATTTTTTTATCTTCTCTTCCTTATGATTTTTTTAATTTTTAAAAATTTTAGTTGACATACAATATTATATTAGTTTCAGGTAATCAACATAGTGATTAGACACACACACACACACATATATACATATATATGTATATATATGTATATATATAAAACTTATGAAATGATCACCCTGATTTAGTACCCATCTGACACCATATATAGTTATTACAATATTTTTAACTATATTCCTTATGCTGCGT